ATCCAGCACAGACCTCCAGATCAGGGCCAGCTGGGTCTACAGGCAGCCATGAACCTCACCAACAGGAGTGCTTTTGGCCAAGGCAAGGCTTCCTCCTTCCGAGCATCTGGCAATATCTTGTCAAGAGATGACACTATCTGGGCATGGTGGTGCACATCTTTAATCCCAGCACTTGGGAGGTGGAGGCAGGCACATCTCTGTGAGATTGAGGCCAACTTGGTCTACATAGCAAGTTCCAGGCCAGCTGGGGCTACAAGGAGACCCTATCTTGAAAAAAAAAAAAAAAAAAGACACTATTGACACTATCCCCTTGTTCTCAGTCTCTCTCCAAGCATGACATAACCCATTTCATTTCTTTACCTTCAGCTACTATCTCCCTGTCTCTTCATGTGTCATGGACTTTGTGTGTGTGGTATATGTGTGTACACATATATGTTCAGCTGCCTGTACCCACATGTACACATGTGAAGGCCAGAGGTGAACTTTGAGTGTCTTTCTCTATTGATCTCCACCTTATTTTTTGAGAAACAGAACCAATCAGCTAGACTAACTGGCTAGCTGGCGAGCCCTGAGATTCTCCTGTCTCCACCTCCCAGCTCTGAGATCATAGGTGCACACCACCACATCCAGCTTTTTAACAGGGGTGCTAAGGATTCAAGCTCAATCCTCATGCTTATGCAGCAAGCACTTTACCCACTGAGTCATTGCCCCATCTCCTTGTCATGAATCTTAGCCACATTTGCCACCTTTGGAGGGGATGTTAGGTTCTGCCACTGTGCCACTCTGAAAAGTCCCTCCCCTATCTACTCATATGTGGCAAGGTTACAAAGGAATAGAACTGGTGGCTCTCAGGACCTACAGCCAATACAACTGCACTCATCAACAAATCCCAGTGTAGCTGGGGGATGTGGCTCAGTGGGACAGCATTGCCTAGCATGCATTAGGCACTGGATTCAATCCCCGGTACTGTAAAAGAAAAAAAAAAAAGTGGAAACTGACTTAAAGTAAGGTCAGAGTATGGGCCAGTGTGACAGCTCAATGAGTAAAGGTGCTTGCCACCAAACCTAAGGACCTGAGTTCAATTTCAGGAATCCACGTGATGAATGGAAAGAACTGCAAGTTGTCCTCTGACCTCCACACACATGCACACTAAATAAATAAATAAATGTTAAAAAAAATTAAAGTAAGGCCAGAACTTCTCAAGAGCCCAATGTCAATGTAGCAAGATAGGGAAGGCATAACCCACTCCATCAGGCCTCTTAAAATTCTAGAAAAAAAAGTTTCAAGGAATGGCAGAGGGCTCTAGCTTGGGAATCTATCTGATTTCTGGTCCTGGGATCACTGCATCCCAAGGGGATAGTTAGGGGGAAAAAGGAGTGCGGGGTTGGGGTGGGAGGCTGAATGGTCATACTGCTGATATACCTCTCCCCCTAGATCCCTGCACCCCAAATAAGCTGAGGAATCTATCTAGTGGGTGCCTCTCCTTTGCCAGGTCATGATGAATGTGAACATATACTTGTGAAGGTGTGTAAGGCCCACTAGCTGCTTTTGTCTCCTTATTTTACATAGCCAGTGGTTGAATTGTGCTCCGATTCTCTATCCCACCAGAGGCTTTGGAGAATGTAAAAACAGTCATTAGTGGCCTGAAATGAGTGCTGTTGTCCTCACAGTGATGGCAGAATTGGGGAGAGTACACAGCATGACATGACCTTTGGATATGATATCTTTGGTCCATTGTTGGACTCTAGGGACTGTATCCTCCCCCACTGTGGTATGTGTGTGTGTATGTGTATTTTGTCTGATTTTTTTGGTTGGTGTTTTGAGACAGGGTCTCTGTGAAACCCTAGTTGGCCTGGGACTCACTATGTAGGCCGGGGTGGCCTCAATTTCAGAGATGCACCTGCCTCTGCCTCTGGGGTGCTGGGATGAAAGTGTGCCCTACCACAGCTGTTTTTTTTGTTTGGTTTGGTTTTTTGAGACAAAAATCTCACTTTGTAGCCTAGGCTGGCCTCAAACTTGTAGCAGTCTTGCCATCTGGGTTTACAGATATAAGCTGCAACAATACTTAGCTACAAGAAATATACCCCAAGGGCTGGGCCTGGTGGCCCACGCCTTCAATCCCAGCCTTGGGAGGCAGAGGCAAGTGGATCTCTGTGAGTTCAAGAACAGCCTGGTCTACATAGTGAGTTCCAGGCCAGCTAGGGCTACAGAGAAACCCTGTCTCAAAAGACAAAAAAAAAAGAAAGAAAGAAAAGAAAGAAAGAAAGAAAGAAAGAAAGAAAGATAGAAAGATAGAAAAAGAAATATACCCCCCAGTGGTCCACATTGGTACACTAGCACTTTATAGAGTTTTGAGGGTTTGTGTTTACACCTAGTTATGAATAGCTGCTTTGATGATACTACAGTGATTTCTATATGGTGATGCCCTATCCCAGCATCGTTTTTGTTTTTGTTTTTTGTTTTTTTGGTCTTTTTGAGACAGGGTCTCCCTGTAGCCCCAGCTTACCTGGAACTCATTTTGTAGATCAGGCTGGCCTTGATCTCACAGATTACCTGCCTCTGCCTCCCAAGTGCTGGGATTAAAGGCTTGCCTACCATGCCCAGCTCATACTTTTGATTTTTTGACCTGTATCCCCAACTAACCTGAAACTCATTATGTAGCCCAGGCTGGCTTTTTCTAGGTGCTTCCTCCTTCATTAGTGTGCAGTTTGAATGTCATCAAGACACAGGCATCTCATTTCAGCACTGCTCTGTGTCCTACAGTCATGGGAAAGTCTCAGTGAGCATCGAGAGCAAGCCACTCATTCTTAAATGGTGTCTACTGAACACTGTGTCTGGAAATTTTCTGGTCTAAGATCTCAGGGAACACCACTGGATACAACTCCAATCCATAGCCCCTTCCAATTGGGCACACAAAAGCTACTGTGGTGATAACTGCTCACACTAGCCCTCTGGCTTCCAACTAACTTATCATAGATTTAAAAAGTAAGGGGCTCAGCGGTTAAGAACACTGACTGTTCTTGCAGAAGACCCGGGTTCAAATCCCAAAACCCACATGGCAGCTAACAACTGTCCGTAACTCCAGTTCCAGGGGATCTGACAGCCTCTTCTGTCCTCCATGGGCATTGCATGACACAGGTTCACTTACCTACATGCAGGCGTAACACTTATACACACACAATAAAAATAAATAATTTTTTTAAAAAAGTTGCAAGGTCATTTCATCCACCTGGCCACCAGGCATTTTATTTCATTTATTTGCATGTGTGGTATATATATGTATATGTGTTCATGTGTGCGAACATGTGTGTGTGTAGTCCAGCGGCTAACATGTGTGTCTTCCTCAGTCATGCTCCACTTTATTTTATTTATTTATTTTTGTCTGTTTTGAGACAGAGTCTCCCTGCAGCCCCAGCTGTCCTGGAACTCACTATGTAGACCAGGCTGGCCTCGAACTCACAAAGATCCGCCTGCCTCTGCCTCCCAAGTGCTGGGATTAAAGGCATGTGCCACCACACCCAGTCCTTTGTTTTTTGAAGAAAACAAGTCCAACCATTTTTGTTTGTGTTTTGGGCTTTTTTTTTTGGTCTTTTTTGAGACAGGGTCTCCCTGTAGCCCCAGCTGTCCTTGGAACTCACAGAGATCCACCTGCCTCTGCCTCTCGAGTGCTGGGATCAAAGGTGTGCGCCACCACACTTGGCTTTGTTTTTTATTTTTGAGACAGGAGCTTGCTAGACCAGGCTGACCTCAAACTCACAGAGAGTCACCTGCCTCTGCTCCCTGAGTGCTACGATTAAAGGCGTATGCCACGGCACCCAACTTCCCCTACTTTCCTGTCAACCTTAGTTAGGTAGATTTGGTGCTCAGCACAAAGAGCCATGTTGGCACACATAAGCTTTATCACAGTTGGAAGCTAGCACACAAATATGAGCTTGACACCTTTCTAAGGCTTTGGCAACTTTGTGAATCCCATATGCTAGGTCATTGAGGACAAGGGTGGCCTTCCACAGCTCTTTAAAGCAGTACTAACATCCATCACAGCTCCAGCAGCAATGCCTTCCTGGGCCATCATGATGAAACTGAATCTCGAACAGACCTGAGCCTCAGCCTCACATGACTCACAGGTGGCAGGGAAAGAGCCACTGTGTTCTTTGAGATAGGGTGTCTCACTGAACCTGGAGCTCACTGATTCAGCTAGGGTGACTGGCCAGCAAGTTCCAGGAATCCACCTCTTTCCCTGTCACCAAAGCTGAGAGTATAGGCATGTGCCATCGTGCTCAACTTTTACGTAGATGCTGGGGATTCCAACGGGAGGATTCCACCGTGCCGGTGCCAGCCGGCCAAAACTGACAGTACCTGAAAGGGGAAGTGAGGATTGAAAGAAAGAAAAGGAGACAGAAAAGGTGGTTGGGAGGGCTCACAGTGAATACTACAGCCCCGATTTATTTCAGTTCTGCCTTTTTATACAGAAGAACTCAATTAGTTACAACTGCTGTTTTTCCCCACCTGTATCTGAGGGTCAGGGAGCGGTCAGATCAAAGTCTTCCTTAATCTTTTTGTTTACCACTATTGCTTCGAGGTCAGGTGTTGTGAGGCTCTCCATATAAACATATTCCTCCTGATAAGGCAGATTAGATGCTGGTGTGCATAACACACACTCAGTAAACAAGCCTGACACAGCTCAATGATTAGCAGCTCCCGACACCACCGCACACACTTAACTGATTGAACCATCTCCTTAGTCCCCACCAGGTATTTTACACTGTTTCACATTAACCGGCATGGACCCAGGCAATTGTGTAGTTCCTTTACTGCTGGTATGTTACTACCTACCAGCCACCAGCACACACATACAAACATGCACCCAAATCACACACACACACACACACACACACACACACACACACACAGCACTTATCCAGCCCTGGGCAATGCCTGAGATGTCGGCCCCACACTTCAGTCCTCTCTTCTGACTACTGTCACCCTGATTGTCTCTGCAGCCAGATTTACTGCCAAGGGGAGCTCCTGCACCAAGTTCAGATGGCCAAGCTCTACCAAGATGACAAGCAGTTTGTGGACATGCCACTGACCACAACTCCAGGTAAAGTTACCTTCCCTTCTCCTGGACCTTCTACCTAAAGAAGGCAGAGCTGGGAGCAGCAGAGGTCTCAGGGTACCCCGCTGACCCCTTGCTGTTGCCTGCTCTCCAGACCAAGTCCTGCAGAGTTTCAGCAAGCTGGCTGTTGCCTACAACTACAGCATCCCCAGGGAACAGCTGCAGGAGTTTGTCAAGCAGCACTTCCAGGCCATGGGACAGGAGCTGCAGCCCTGGATCCCTGAGGACTGGAAAGACAGGTACCACTCTGGACAGAAGACAGGAGAGGGCCCTATGGTTGGGGCTGCCTCCATGAACCCTGTGGGGTCCTTTCTTCTAGCCCCCAGTTCCTGCAGAAGATCTCAGATGCCAAGCTGCGTGTCTGGGCGGAGCAGCTGCACCAGATCTGGAAGAATCTGGGAAAGAAGGTAGCAGTGACCTGGGCCTGCTTCACAGCCTGGTGGATGACCCTGGGGATAGGACAGAGCTGGGCCTGTTGGGGTCCACAGCACCCCGAAACACAGATATTTCCTAAAAACATAGTCCATAGCCCTGAGCCCTAAATAGAAACCTAGAAAGCACTTCTGAGGTCAGAAGGGAACATTTGCTTCTAACCCCTCATACCCTCCAAGGAGCCACCAGGGCAAACCAAGTCAGTGCTGCTTCTTATACCCTGGAGGGGCCTGGCAGAGGGTCACGTCCTTCAACTTTTTCCCTTCCTAAACTCCTGGGCCAGCCTCAGTCCTAGCATAGTAACTGCAGCTGCATGTGGCCAGTGTGTGTTGTGCGCAGTACTGAGGGACTCTCCTTTCTGCCTGGCAGTCTGCCTAAGGCTGCCCAGGACCAGCCGGTCCAGCAGAAACACACCTGACCCCCATTCTGCTGCTCACTCAAAGTGACTGGAGCAAGATGAGCTTCCCATTAAAATCAGGAACATTTAGAACCAGTGGGAAAGACAGAAAGGGCTCAGAGGCCCCATGCAAGCGCACACTGCTCCTGCTCTCCTCAGCTGCCTCCAGGGAAAGGGCTTGGGCCTTGGAGTTTCACCCACCTGGGAGAGGGAGCACCTTCGGGGTCTGACTTGGTGGCAGCGAGGATAGGGGTGGCTCAAGGGAGACAGGAGCTAGCACTGCTTCGCCCACTTAGCCCTGCCTGGGTCACAATAATGGCCACTGCCGGTGGTCACCTGCCTGATGCCACCTCGAGTCAAGTTGAGCCAGGACCCCAGATGTTAGTATGTGAAGAGTAAGGGTATCAAGACTACCAGCAGCTGACTTGACTGCACAGTAGAGCCACAGCAGCAAGAGCCAACCTCTCCACCAGGGCTGCCAGGCTCTCTGCCCCTAGTGTCTGCAGCCTCTACTCTCGGGCTGATGCTAGGCTCCCCTGTATCCTCTCCTGACTCCAGATGAAGCCAGAAGTTCTTAGTCACCCTGAAAGGTTCTCTCTGATCTACTCAAAACACCCCTTCATTGTGCCTGGTGGCCGTTTTGTTGAATTCTACTATTGGTGAGTGCCCAGGTCTAAAGGCCCCATGGAGGCTGGAGAACACAGGGCCAGCACGCTGATGACCTGGGAGTGCAGGGCAAAGGGTGAAAGCTGGGTAACACACCCCTGCTCCTTCCCCAGGGACTCCTACTGGGTCATGGAGGGTCTGCTTCTCTCAGAGATGGCCTCAACAGTGAAGGGCATGCTGCAGAACTTCCTGGACCTGGTGAATACGTAAGAGAGGGGGCCTTGCATGTGGAGCTTGGTTTGCCTTCCTTAGCCCTGCCACTGGGGCAGCAGTATCTCAGCAGAACCACTCTGAACAGCTACAGGCATATCCCCAATGGTGGACGTGTATACTACCTTCAGCGGAGCCAACCCCCACTCCTGACTCTCATGATGAACCTATATGTGACTCACACCAAGAACAATACCTTCCTGCAGTGGGTATCCAGTCCATGCTGGCCTATAGGCACACGCCATGCTGGATACTTCCCAGGGCCAGGGGCAAAGGCTGTGTGCCTGGGTTGAGGTGCTGCCTGCCTCCACCCCAGGGAGAATATCAAGACCTTAGCCTTGGAATTGGACTTCTGGACTCTGGAAAGAACTGTCCCTGTGAGATCAGGGGGAAAGAGCTACATCCTGAACCGCTATTATGTCCCTTATGGGGGACCCAGGTAAGGAGCCCATCAGCCCCTTGTCTGTTTATTCCAGTGTGAGTATATCAATGACCCAGAACTTGGGGAGGGAGGTGACCCTGAGATCCTTAGCCCCCCATCATCGGGCTGTGGCAGGGGTGGGGGAGAGAGGAAGGGCAACAGATAGCTGGGCCTCCTACTTGAGCAGAGGGACTTAGTGTCTACCAGTGCCAGTCTGCTGCCCTTCTCCTTGCCAGGCCAGAGTCCTACAGCAAAGATGTGGAAGTGGCAGACACCTTGCCAGAAGGTGAGCAGCAACAGTAGGAGGAAGGGCTGACGGGAAGGTGTTGGGCCTCTGTGGTTTATGCCAGGCTTTGGTCTGTGACTGCCTGACTCTGCAGCCAGTCCTGGCCTTGAGTTCCTGTTCTGTCCTCATAGAGGACCGAGAGACTCTGTGGGCTGAGCTCAAGGCTGGGGCCGAGTCTGGCTGGGACTTCTCTTCACGCTGGTTTGTCGGAGGCCCAAACCCCAACTTGCTCAGTAGCATCCGAACCAGCAAAATGGTTCCTGTTGACCTGAATGCCTTCCTGTGCCAAGCAGAGGAACTGATGAGTAACTTCTACTCCAAACTGGGTGAGCATCCTGAGAGAGGGGACTGTCCAGTGTGGGCTCCTGTATCAGCCTTGGCCAAACTGAAGGTAGAACATGGGCGAAGGACTCCCCAGCCAGCTCAAATACTTACCCGGATGAAAGATTCCTCATGGATAGATGACTGGAGCCTACCCTTATCTTCACACTGCCTATTCCTTTTATTCTATGAGGCCCTCTAATACCAACAAGGTGACACTCTGGTGCATACATCCACTCCCAAAAGTGATTCCTTACCCCTCAGAGCAAGTGTCTTCAGAAGGTTGAACCTGGGGTACAGATCAATGAGTCCCTTCTGGGCAGGGCCATTAGCTTAGGGAGCTTCAGGCATGAACTGTGGTAGGCTCTGGGGAGTCACGACTCCTTGGTCCTTAGAATTCTTAGCTATTGTGAGAAGAAGCACACCTGGAAGAGAGCAAAGTAAAGGCATCCTCTAAGATACACCCAAGGGTATCTAAAGTGGCCCAAGGGCAGGGCCCTGCCTGCTGAGGCTAAAGTCAGTGCCATACAGGGAACGAAACCGAGGCCACAAAGTTCAGAAACCTGCGGGCCCAGCGCTTGGCCGCCATGGAAGCTATCTTGTGGGATGAACAGAAAGGTGCCTGGTTCGATTATGACTTGGAAACAGGGAAGAAGAACCTAGAATTTTACCCATCCAACCTTACTCCACTCTGGGCTGGCTGTTTCTCTGACCCTAGTGTTGCTGACAAGGCTCTGAAATACTTGGAGGTAAGGGGACAGTGGGCAGGTCTGGCACCCTGGAGGCAGGACTCTGCCCCCCGCTGTCCTCTCCTGCTGTCTCAGCCTGCGTGCTCTGAGGCCACTGGGGACAGCTGTGAGGCAGGAAGAGAAGGGTCAGGAGGGGCACATCTGGCTTCCCTGAGGACCCAGCATCCTTGGCTGCTGCTTCAGCCATCACCCACAGTCACAGCAGTGTCTGGAACCTCCTAGGACAGCAAGATCTTGACCTATCAACATGGAATTCCAACCTCTCTCCAAAACACAGGCCAACAGTGGGATTTTCCAAATGCTTGGGCCCCCCTACAGGACCTGGTCATCAGAGGTAGGAGGGCAGGCAACTAATATGCCCACCTCACTTGTCCAGTGGACCCTACCCTCCTTTATCCCTCCCTCCAAACCAGCCCATGGGTCCCGAAAAGAGGTCTGGACAGACTCCCTTCCCACCTGAGGGAGAGTAAGACTCAGGCCTCTCTTCTGTCCAGGGTGGGAACTCTGGATATTCAGATTTCCTCTGGGGTGGGGTTTAGGCTTGGCCAAGTCAGCTTCCTCCCGGACTCAGGAGGTGGCTTTCCAGCTGGCCCAGAATTGGATCAAAACCAACTTTGATGTCTACTCCGAAAAGTCAGCCATGTATGAGAAGGTGAGCTGGCTGGGACATCCCTCTGTCCCACCAGGGCTTTCTTCCACAATTGAAGTGGGCATGTGTAAGGCTTTGCCAGACTCTACAGTGGCGGCCCCTGGTAGCTATTCATGGGCACTGCAGGGACCTGAACTGCAGTCAACTGTAGCTTCTTTTTTTAAAAAAATATTTTTATGTATATGAATGTATTGCCCACATGTGTGTAAGTATACCTGTGTGTGCAACGCCTATGGACTCTGGAAGAGGGTGCTGGATCCCCTGGAACTGGAGTTAACAGTTAGCTGCTACGTGGGTGCTGGGAACTGAACTAGGGCCCTCTGCAAGAACAGCCAGTGCCCTTAACCACTGAGCCATCTCTGCAGCCCAAGTGTAGCTTCTTTCTCCCCAGTGGCGCCAACATTCTGTTGTCCTGTGGCTGGGGTGGTGGCCTTAGGGGTTATGTCTAACCTATCACCCTCCCTTTTGTCCACAGTATGACATCAGCAATGGTGGACGTCCAGGTGGTGGAGGGGAGTATGAAGTTCAGGTAAGCAGGCCAGGGTAAGCTGGCTACCATACAGGTCCTGCTGTCCTCTAAGGACACAACCCCTTTAGATTTCAGTGCCCAGTACTGGGCCCATGAGGAGCTGAATGCTGATTCTTGGTGTCCCAAAAGCTTAGGTGGGGTCACAGCTATTGGGAAGAGGGGAATCCTCCCTAACAGTGCCTGGGGCCCCCAGAGATCTGGAACCCACTGGCCTGGCCTCTCTCTAGGAAGGATTTGGCTGGACCAATGGAGTGGCCCTGATGCTCCTGGACCGCTATGGGGACCGGCTAACCTCAGGGACCAAGTTGGCTCTCCTGGGACCTCACTGCCTGGTGGCTGCCCTTTTACTGAGCCTTCTGCCCAGCTTTCTGCCTTGGTGACCACGAGAATGGCCTCACTGCCAGTCCCAGTTGCCTGCACGTCCTCCTCTGGCTCCGGCACCCACCTCATTAAATCTCTGCTCTGCTCTGCTCCTCCCTTCTCCTGCTGAGCATCCCTGTCTCCCAGCTGGCCTGTTCACACAGCACTGGGAAGAAGCGATCTGGAGCTCAGACTGAGACCTCGAACTTTAGGGTAGAAATCCTTGCCCTTGGGAAAACTGAATCCTGTAGCCCAAAATACCCCAGCCAATACCACATACAGCCTGCCTTTATACACACACACACATAGTCAAAATGCTTTATTGTTCTGCTGAAATGCTTACAAATACTGCAAAACACCCAGCCAGGCCCAGCAACCAAGGGCCCACTGCTGGAGAGGAGGGCAGGGGAGGTGGCTTAGTGTTAAGGCGCAAAGGCTGAGGCCAGGCAGCTCCAGAGCCTGGTCCTCCACTCTCCTTTTCTATTACCTTTAGTCAGCTGAAGGGAGGATTCCACAGCCCAGGGCCTCCACCGCCCCCTTGTTGAGGCTTCCTTCGGGGAGCCCCAAGCTACCCTCCTTCCCTATTGGAAACCCAGCCCTGTCAACATGGAAGATTAGCCCTCTTAGCTTTCTCTCCCCTCAGCATTGCTGCTCCTCTGGTCTAGAATCCCCCAACAATCATCCCTTCTGGCTCTAATCAAGGCACGAGTGGAAGGGAGAGGGCTGGACTGGGGGCTAGAGGCACTGGAAGGACAAGAAAATGTCTCCTCCGGCCATGTGACATGCCCCGGGGGCCTGGGTTGGAGAGATGATGGCACGCACCCTCAGGTAGCCCACAGCTGACCAGTAGACTGAGCCCTGGAGAGGCCATGGCAATTAGTGTGTAACCATGGTGATGAAGCAGTCCCGTGGAGACCATGGTGATGAGTTTACTATGCGAGGATGGGGCTGGGACCTCAAGGTCTCTGGCCCTTGAGCCAAGTAGTGAAAAGAATGAGGAGACAGAATGGGGTTGGGCAGTGCAGGCCTGAGCTGCTCTCCCTCTCTACACGTGGCTCTGCTCAGACCCCCTCCCCAGACCCCTGCAGAGGAGGTGAGGCAAGAAGGGGATCTTTGGCAGATTCTGGTACCATAATTTGTCCTTTACAAAGAGAAAACAGGCTGGGTCAAGCAGGTGCCAGGTCAGAGTTGAGAGACCCACTCTATGACAGTTCCTCAGGCCTGCTAGGCCCAGGAGGGACCCTGAACTTCGGGGCTTCCAGGAGGTAACAAAGCCCCTCCCTCCTTCCCTCTCTACTGGTTCTTTAGGGACCTGAGCCCAAACCATCAAGCACTGAATACCTCACAGAACATAAGTCTTCTTGTACAAAGGCCCTTGGGGCACTCTGCTATACCCTGCTCCCTGGTGGCCCAGTGTCCAGTGTGCCACTATCTCCAGGGGCAGGCAGAGTACATGGCAGGGCATGGGTCCTTGATCAGTCCTGGGGACCCAGGAGACCTATGGTAGTCAGTTCATGAACTGAGTGTAGCCCTCGGCTCCTGTGACGATGACATCCATCCAGATCCGCATGGCCTCTGCAGATGGGGCTACCATGTAGTACAGGCGGTCATGGGTCTTCACGCAGAAGGTGAGGGCTGGGTTCGGACTCTGCCAAGGCAAGACAGGAAGGTCTAAGGCAGGGTTCATCTAGGCCCAAAATATTTTTCTCACCTGCCTCTTGTCTGTCTTTTCCCTTGAAGTCCCCAGCCCTGGAACTTAGAGCCAAGTCCTTAATAAGCCAAAGCCTAGTCCCCAGGCATCTTTTCACACATGGCAGTCCTGGGCTCTCTAGGTCCTTGTGACCTCCAACAGGGGCATACTCTGCTGGGGCCCTGGATCCTGGGGACCCGATCCTTGGCACCCCCAGGTTCCAAAGTGAGTACAAGAGAAATTAGTCACAAGGGTTGTTCTAGTGAGGACCAGATTCTTCTCTAAGCAAAAAAGGTAGGAAGAGGCTATAAGCAGGATGCTGGCCCAGACCCCAGAGCAGGGGTCAGGATAAGCTGGGGTCTGAGGGCTGGCAGGAGGGAGGGAAACTTGCATTAGGCTAGCTGGCTCAGCCTCCAACATCTTTTACCAATCCCCCCTCTCTAGTCTAGTCGCTGCAGACCCACCTACCCCTTTCACTCTCCCTTCTGTACTGTCTGCACAGAGAAGGAGGCAACAAGTAAGACTCAACCCACAGGAGCTCCTTGCTTCCTCCTCCCTCAGGCCTGGAGCAAGTTAGAGGGATGAAGGAAGGGGTCAGGGGTCAGGGGTCAGAGGGCACAGGAGCTATTAATGGTTAATGTGTGCAGTTTTGGTTACAGGCATATGGGGAGGGGTACCTCAGTCACCATAGTGAAGCGGAAAAACCTCTTCTGGGAGGGGGAGAGGAAAAAAGGAAGAGAAAGTTGGCAAACAAGACAAAGCTGGCACCTGAGGAGAGCGTAGGCTGGAGGCCTTGGCTTCCAGAACCGCCCCCCTGCCCCCATTGGGCCACCTCTTGCAGGTGGCTGTCCCTGCATCCCCCTCTGGTGCCCTCCGCTCACCTTGGCTGCGCTGCGCAGGTGGTCATAGTATACTTCCTCAATGGCCTGGAAGTAGATGACCCCCTTCAGTTTCGTCTCATGTTTGTCTGCAAAGGAATGAGGGCTAGGCTGAGCAGACGAAAGCATGGAGGGCCGTGGGCCTGAGCTCGTACCTCATCTGGGAATGGGTTACAGCCTAGGCCTCCCAGGACTCCAAAACAGAGTCCAAAAGACGACCCTGAAGATAGGGATAATGCAGATTGGAACTCTGATGAGATGACACTACCAGAAGGGCAAAAATTAGTGAGGATGTGGAAAAGCAGGCTGTCTAATAAATGACAGATGGGAGTGAAAAGTGGTGAAGTGCTTGATCAAAAGTAAGCACGAACTCAGAAGGTTGAGGCAGAAGGAGTTTGAGTTCTTGAGCTACATAGTGAGATTCTCCAAAAACTAAATACATTTTAAATGCAAATAAAAATCATAAACTAGAAAGGCATTTGCCTTTTGACCTAGTGACTACACTTATAAGAATTTATCTGACATGTGTATAAAATAACAGGTTTACAAGATTCACTGCAGCTTGGTTTGGCACCATGAAAGGTTATAAACAAGCCAAATACCTATCAAATGGAGATGAGTTAATAAGTTGTGTACCACATTGTGGAGTATCATATAGCTGTTATAAAGGATACAGAAAATGTTTTCTGGTGTGTGTAGTATATATGCATACATATGGGGATATGCATACCTGTGTGCACACACTTGGAGTCCAGGGTCTCTTACTGAACCTGGAACTAGACTGAATGCCAGCCAAGTCCACCAATCATCCTGTCTCCATCTCCCATATGTAGGAGGGGTGTACATGTATACAAGGTGCTAGGAATTTGCACTCAGGTCCTCAGGCTGGAGTACAAGTGCTCTGACCCACTGAGCCATCTCCTCAGTCCCTAGAAATGTTTGATATAGGTATAGGTTGAATAATAAGTCTATAAAATGCACCTAAGTGTAGGTATCTGGTTGTTGATATGTTTAACCCCAAAGACCTCTAAGATGCATTAAAAAGTGAAGAGGAATGCATTATCTACAACCTTTTTTATAAGAAAAAGAGATTTTAAGAAGTTGTTCATCTCAATATGGTGGTACACATACATGATCCAACCATCTGAGAAGTAGAAGCTGAGGAACAGGAGTTCAAGGACAATCTGACTATATAGTGAGTTTGAGGTCAACCTGGGCTACATGTGACACTGTTCCACTTTAAAAAAAAAAAAAATGCTGGGTGTGGTGGCACACACCTTTAGTCCCAGCACTTGGGAGGCAGAGGCAGGCAGATCTCTGTGAGTTCGAGGCCAGCCTGGTCTACATAGAGTTCCAGACCAGCTGGGACTACAGGGAGAACCAATCTCAAAAACACCAAAAAAGGGGCTGGAGAGATGGCTCAGTGGTTAAGAGCACTGGTTGTTCTGACAGAAGACCCAGGTTCAAATCCCAGCACCCATATGGCAACTAACAACTGTCCATAACTCCAGTCCATGGGGATCTGACAGCCTCTTCTGACCTCCATGGGCATTGCATGACACAGGTGCACTTACCTACATGCAGGAAATACATGCATACACATAAAAAATAATAATAATAAATTTTTAAAAAGTTTGTATTACCTGTACCTGGTGGAGATAAGTCCTCAAATAAACCTTTTCATATACTTTTAGTGGGGGTCAGGGTCTTCCTGTAGCCCCAGCTGGCCTGGAATTTGCTAGAATTCGTAGACCAGGCAGGGCTCAATCTCATAGAGATCCACCTGCCTCTGCCTCCCAAGTGCTGAGACTAAAAGTGTGTGCCACCATGCCGGGCCATATATTTTGATTTTTGAACCCTATGGATATATTTACCTCATGCTAAAAAAGAAAGGAAGCTGGGGGTGCAGATCTGTTGGCAGCAGAGTACTTGTATGTGCCTGACATGCACAGAGCCCTGGGTTCTAGCGCCACTTAAAACTAGGTATATAGGGCTGGAGAGATGGCTCAGTGGTTAAGAACACTGGTTGTTCTTGCAGAAGACCCGAGTTTGAATCCTAGCACCCACATGGCAGCTAACAACTGTCCGTGACTCCAGTCCCAGGGGATCCAGCCTCTACTGACCTTGGGCATTACACGATTCAGGAGCACTTACCTACATGCAGGCAATACATGCATACACATAAAATAAAAATAATAAATAATAAAATTTTTTTAAAAACTAGGCATAGTGGCCCATATCTGTATAGTCCCAGCACTTGGGACACAGGCAGGAAGATCAGAAGTTCAAGGTTATCCTTGGCTACATAGCAAATTCGACTACAGCCTAGGCTACATGAGATTCTGTTACAAAAAAGAAAAGGAAAAAAAACACAGAAGGAAGCAAGTGGGCAGGTATAAGAGCTGGGGGTGCAGCTCAGTGGTAGAACACTCTCCTAGGTACACAAGTCCCTGGGTTTGATTCCTCAGTGGGGAAAAAAAGAAACAAAGAGGAGAATGAAGAGGAGGAGAAGGATGGTCTCTTGGCATTCCATTCCAATCGTATATATAGCACACAAATCATTCAAGGTCAGGGTGGCTGGAGTAAGCAGAGCAAACGGTCAGAGCAGAGGTGACCACTTGTATAGAAGAACAGCAGTTGCTGGGCATGGTAGTGTATGCCTTTAGTCCCAGCACTTGGGAGGCAGAGGCAGGAGGATCTCTGTGAGTTCAAGGCCAGCCTGGTCTACATAGTGAGTTCCAGGCCAGCTGGGGCTACAGGGAGATCTTGTCTCAAAAAAGAACCCCCCCGCCAAAAAAAAGAACAGCAGTGTCTGGTCCATGACAAGCACTGCTCAGATGATACACCTGACACCCTCAGCCATCAGCTTGAGTCCTACAAGAGAGGACATGCCAATCACTGAGCTCAGAGGTGACAGCTGTCAGTAAGTTCCTCCCCATGGTTCCCTCCCCCACACCCCAGGTTTCAGGGCTAGATGACCTGCACTGCTCTGTCCTTGCTCCAGCCTTCTAAGGGCCCTGCCCCACCCTCCAGCCCTGCCACTCATCTGCCTTGATGCTCTTCACTCAAAAGCCTAATCCTGCTGCTCCAGGCTACAACTTCTCTACTAGCTCCTCTTTGGAGAATCAGTACCTCTGTGTCTTGGCAAAGCCCATTCACAGATAGGTACCATTATATCCCTCCAGTTAGTCTCACAGCCTCCTCTGCACTGCTAAATTCTGTAAAGTCAGTTGAGATTCTCACTGTCTCCTCAGCAGCCCATTCTTCATACATGAGAACGCTCTCCTGTCCATATTCTTGGCAACCTCTAAAACCCACTGCAGCTGTCACCACTACAGTGCACAGCTATGAATCCTCTTCATAGACCTTACCATGCTGCATCTGAACCTTCCATCATCCATACCTACAACCCCCTTCAACATCAACAGTTATGTGCGAGGCACACAATAGGTGCTCAGTTAATGTGGAATGACTCAATCCTAGGCACTGGCAACCAGAAAGAAGTCACAAACCCTTCTAGGAACTTACAATATGGTGGGAAGGTACAGGCACACAGCCTAGTTACTTGCCAACAAGGCTGGGAATTCCAGGAGCACCCACTGTGCATCTGAGGGTGTTAAGTGTGTGAAAGACATGTTCAGAGCATTCAGCAGTGTCTGGCACAGAACGTGGCATCCGTCATGACACCATTACTCCCTAAGCTGATGTCACACAGCAGACGGTCCAGGGGTAAGTGTGGGAAATCAGAGGAAAATGGGTACCCCTCCAGGGAAAGTGGAGCCTCAAAAGGCTTTACAGAGGTAAAGCTGTGACTGTCCTGGAGGCAAGAAGGTGCAGGTCCAACAAGCAACACACCCAGGTCCTGGCGTAGCCCCACACCATCTCAGCGTTTCCTCCTTGGCACAAGGACCCTGGCCACCCTCCAGTCCCTGTTCCCCCTCACTCCTTTCACTGGAAATAGTAACACGCTCCTGCTCCTGCTTCCTTCCCACCCCCCTAGCCTTGGCCTTACACAATCTGGCTCCTGCTTCTGCACACAGTGGAAAGCCTTCTCTCCACAAATCCCAATCCCTGGGTCAAATGGCCTTTGAGCCACATCATTCTTGACCTTCTGGCAACGTCTATCATCGCTACTGACACCTCGGGCTTGCAAATGTCTGCTCCCTTGGCCGGCTTCCTTCCCTGTTTCCGCTGCCCGCCTAACCTTGGTCTCCTTTTGTTTCATAGACATGGAGCGAGGTCACATTTGCCAAGTGCCAGCCCAGCACCTGGCATGCAGTCAAAGCCTGCTTCCTGCTTCCTGCCCTTCTGCCTCTGCTGGTCTCTCTTCCTGCTTCTTCCTCGCAAGTGGCTGTTTCTCCCTCTCTGCTCTGCCTTGTAGGAGCCACGAGACTTTCTGATTCTCTTAGTCCCATTTTCCTTCCATGTAAAATGGGTATAAATAGAGTGTTTTGACAAAAATTAGATAAAATGATGCATAGACAGTACTTTCCATAGCATGTGTCTAAACAGAGTTCTGCACCTGACGTTGGCAAAGTACTTCTACTGCCCCAACCCAGCTGGAAACCTGGGCTTCTCTCTCCATACCCAGGGGTCAAGGCGATCGGGCAAGGCTTCTAGAGGGGTGAAAGGTTAGAGGGGGAAACAAGACACTGGGCCTGGCATCCATGGCACAGATCCTGTAGCCTTTCCCTTCCAGCATCCAGCAGGACTGCTCTTCCCAGTTTTGTAGTTGGTGGGGCTGAGTGACTAGCCAGAATGCCCCACTCCATACACACTGTGACCGTGACCGGCAGATGTGACATATGTCACTTCCCAGCTGAGGTACTTAATATCAGTGCAAGACCCTGGCAAGGCTCTCCACTCTCTCTGCCAATGTGGCCTAGCAATGTTCCAGAAAGGCTTGTTGCACAGCAGATTCATGCTGGGAATAAGAAGGAGCTCAGAGGACAACAATACTGTAGCCTCTTCTGACTAGGGGACGTTCCAAGTGGGAGAGTCTAGAGGTGTTCCAGGGGATGGGAGTCTACACTAGAGGCTGGGTGATGGAGCAGGAGGGGCAGGGTGGATCAGGCACCTGTACCTGGGCTGTCCTGAGAGTCCTTGATATTGCTTAACTGCTTACCCTGGAGTCTCTGAGGGAAACCAAAGGGGAGCTCCTAGCCCAACCCAGGTATCCCCAACACCCAGGTATTCCCCTGACAGCAAACCCACTGCACTTTAACTGCTGTGCATGGTATCTGCCTTCCTGACAGTGTAGGCTTCTGGGGAGAAAGCATGGTCATCTTGCTTGTCACCAGAGCCTAAAACAGTGCCTGGAATTTATTCTATGTTCAGTGACACTGTAGAGTGAATGAATGGATGTGAACCCAGTACACTGTATATTTTCAGGGAAAGGAAGTCAAAGCCCTTCAGAGACTCTGGCCCTCAACCTGGCCTCCTTCCAGCAGACCAGCTGTCCCAGCTGTCAAAGTCCAGGTGCCCCAGCTTTCATTAGCCCCAAGGAAGTCCTGTGGGAACTTACCCACATAATAAGAAAGGGTGCGCTTGAGCCGGTCAAAGACAAACCAGCGCTTCTTCCATGACTTAATCTTGCCGCCCATCTTGACCAAGTAGCCACGGCAGACCTTGTGGGAAGCACCAGTGAAAAAGGACTTAAATGTGGAGCCTGGACCATGCATATCCCCCAAGCAACCTCTTTCGGTACGTGCCAGTGCCTGTGTCTGCATCGGCAGGGGCTAGCCCCAGCATCTCCTCAGGCCAGCACAGTCCTGGCTATGTTGAGACAGGGACCGAGGCCACAACTTCAAGGTCCCAGGAGGTGCTTCTGACCACCAGCCCACCCCGCCCCAGCAGCTCGGGCCATGGGTCTGGTACCTTGCTGCTAAGCACCACATGTAGGCAGGTATCCACCCCATGGCCTGACGACTCAATATGGGTCTTGAGGTCAAAGTCCTCCTTCCGGATGGGCAGGTAGCGTGTGAGGGGCCGTGCCTGGGGGCAGAGGGCAAGGTTAGCAGAGTTGCTTCTCTTTCCCCAACATTCCTTTGTTCCAGTCCCTCAGCTTCAGCCCTGAATCTCCCACAACCTTACTGATCACCCCCCAACACACATACCTGTGGCTGGAGTCTGGCAAAAGTGGAGACCTAGCGTGCCCGTGCTGACTACCTAGGCCCACACAAAATGCTGACTGGCCCCTTACTTCAGCCAACCATGACACAGACAACACTCTCTACTCCCTGCCCCTCCTCTCCCTCCTGGACTGTTAGAATGAGCAAGAGGCCAGATGTGAACATATCCTGGGAAAAGAAGTCCCACATGAAATCTGTGCTCTAGGGCTGGGATGCAGCTTTGTGACAGATTGTTTGCCTAGCAAACTCAATGCCCTGGATTCCAACTCCATCGTTAAAAGATAAATAAATAGGGCCAGTGAGATGGCTCAGCTGGTGAAGGCACCTGCCACCAAGCCTGATGACCTGAATTTGATCCCTGGGCACATGGTGGAAAGAGAGAATGGACTCCCACAAATTGTCCTCTGAACACACACACACACACACACACACACACACCTA